CAAAAAAAAGGGGCAATTTTCTTTTTGTGGTGCTTTTTTTTTTTTTTTTTTTTTTAATCTCTCGCTGTCATCCTGTCACTTACAAAGGCACCTGACAAGATATAAAAAGTGTAATACACCATGAGCAAGTGGGATGTACCGGGGGGATGCAAGCCTGCCTCAGTGTCTGAACACGTAAAACAGAAAGACTACGTGATCACGTCAAATACAGAAAAAGCGTTTGATAAAACTCAACATTCATTCGACCTGAAAAGGGGCGGCTACAGAAACCTTTAGTTAATATCACACGTAATGGGGAAAGATGAAATGCTTCCACCCTAAAATCAGGAATCAGGCAAGGATGTAAACTCTCATCAACCCTGACTCAAGTCATACTGGAAAAGGCCAACTCACGAAATAAGGCAAGAAAGAGAAAGAAAAGGCACCCAGACCGAAAAGGAAGAAATAAAGTTCCTATTCGAAGATGATGTGACTATCTACGCACTGCCTTGTAATTAACATAAAAATCTTTTGATGATGAGGTTCTTCCTGTTTTTAAATACAAAGCACTAAAAGACATAAGTCTTGTAACAACTTAAGTCACCTTAGTTTATTCCTTCCAGTCACTTGCAGATATCTACATAACCACCTTACAGAACTGAAAAGGACAGTAGAATAAAGACAAAATTAGTAACATCTGTGTCTCGTAAGTATTTCAAAGTATTTTCATTTATTTCATGTCTTTTTCCTAACAGCTCTGTGGGGAAAGTAGCAGAATAGGAATTCTTTTCTCCTCCTCCTCCCCCTCCTCCCTCCCTTTCTCCTCTCCCTCCTTCTTTTTTAATTGCCAGAGGGTGCTTACACTCACCAAAGAGAGAGAAGCCCTAATGGAGTTACAGTGCTGGACTCCCACGTAATCGACCACGATCCTTTTCCCTCCATTCCTCACTCTCATCAAAAATTTGGGCTTAGGACCAGCAGTTAGCGTAATGGCTATGTTGCTGGACTCCCACGTAGTCGACCGCGGTTCGAGTCCCGGACCCGGTGGATTAAACTCACGCCGGGCGCGTGTGCGTGCGTGCCCAAGATCCTGAGAGGAGAATGGAGGAGAAGGGATTGCGGCGTGGCCATCCCTCCGGGGGGTGATTTCATGCTTTCTATCTCTCTGTCTCTCTCTGTCTGTCTGGCGAGCACACGCGCCCTATAGCAAAAGTCTCTCCAAAAAAAAAAAAAATTTAGGCTTACATGCACAGGTGCCCAACGTATTTCTCTAACTGTCAGGGCCAGGACGTTAACCATGGTCAGCCATGCGGGATCCAGCTTGGAAATAAGTCCTATGTACATGGTGAAAATGACTACCCTGCTAAATCACTGATTGAAAAATAAGCAATTAAGGGGCCAGCAGGTGACATGGAAATTCAAGTCCCAGACCTGGGGCTTGAAAAATCATGTTGGGCACATGCACATGAGTGCCCAAAATCCCAGGAGGAGAGTGGAGGAAAAGGGATTACAGCATGGCTATCCCCCTGGGGAGTGATTTCTCTGCATTCTGTCCTTAAAAAAAACATTTTTTTTAAAGCAATTGAGGGCCAGCAAGTGACATGGTGGTTAAAGGTGCTGGATTCCCACATGGCCAACCATGGAATGAGTCCTGGACCTGGCAGCTTGCTTTCTCCCTTTCCCTTTCTCTCTCTCTCTCTCTGTCTCTCTCTGGTCAGATTAAAAAATAATAATAACAAATCGAATTAAATAAATAAATAACTCAAAAAAAAGGACAATTGAGGAACCAGCAGATAGCATAAGGGTTACGTTGCTGGACTACCATGTAGTTGACTGCGGTTTGAGTACCAGACCTGGCAGCTTAAAATTTATGCCAAGTGCATGTGTGTGTTTGCCTAAAATCCTGAGAGAATGGAAGACAAGGGATTACGGTGTGGGGGGAGGGGGAGTAACTTCTTGATTTCTGTCTCTCTCTGTCTCTTCAGCAAGTGCATGCACACTATAGCAAAAATATTTCTTTTAAAAAAAAAAAAAAGAGGGACCAGCAGTTAGTGTAATGGCTATGTCACTGAACTCCCACATAGTCAACTGCGGTTCAAGTCCCGGACCCGGTGGCTTAAAGTCACACCAGGCGCATGTGTGTGCGTGCCCAAGATCCAGAGAGGAGAATGGAGGAGAAGGGATTGCGTTGTGGCCATACCCTCCCCGGGGGGGTGATTTCTCGCTTTCTGTCTGTCTCTCTCTTTCTGGTGAGTGCATGCACCCTATAGCAAAGATCTCTCCAAAAAATAAAAAAAATTAAAAAAAAGAGCAATTGATTAGAAAATGAGCAAAATCAAGACCATGAAAATATCTGACTAAACTCTTTAAGCAGCCTTTAATTAGACAAACGCTGGATTTCCTACTACTCTGAGGCATACTGGGTCATCGGAAAAGTCATGATGCATTTTTTCATAGGGAAACATGTTATGATTTTTCTGATGACCCAACACAACAGTGACGGGCATGAGTGCTTGATAACTACGCCCCACGCACAACGGAAGTTTACACTACCTGAAGCTGAAGTCCTCGATGCTCGATTCCTGATCTCCTTTAGCAAAAGCATCCTTCCAAAATGAGTGCTGCAGCAAGCCTGTCCAAGTTAATCTTTATAAAACATATAAAACTACATTTTAACATGACTTACCATGGAGAATTCCCAAGGCATGTCCCATCTGCATATTATCTCAGATTTTACAACTTATAAATATCTCCCTACTGACAGACCTTTGAAATTGTTTTATATTTTGCTCTTTCATTTGGGTGTGTAATTAGCTTCTTGTAGACAGCAAATCAGAAGAAATCATTCGGAAGGCATGAATGGCCCAGAGTGGAACAGTCTGACAAATGCAGGGCCTCGGAGCCCAATGAAAACATCTTGGGTTCTCTCACCAGTTTACAAAGAGAACTTATAAATAATTTGAAATTCTAAAGTAATATATATTACCGATCTAGAATTCTATCACCTGGCACATCCCAAGAGAGGCAAGATTGATTTAGTTACCCTGAATGACCCATTTCAGTTCTGGGACTTGACTCTTAGAACCTCGCTGAGAAATAAACAAGAACACCAGCTGCATGGCTATATATACAGGCACCTCTCTGTTTAGGGATCAAAAGAATGTTGCCGCAGCTGGTTCACATTAAACGGACTTTGGGCTGTACCTAAAACCCAGACTCACTTTCAGAGCAGTAAGTGTGGCTACTAATAGAGTACACCTCTAACCATACTCATCAGACTGCGAAAATGGAGTCTGCCTGAATTTTTAAAACAAAAAAGGAAACAGTTTGTACTTGATTAATTTAATTACTCAAAACTTATGTATGAAATTAAAAAACACTTTGATCAAGAGCCAGTGGCTAGGGCACTAGACATCCCCATGGTCAACCATGGGGACAAGTCTCGGACCCAGAGGCCTGAAAAATCACACCAGGTACGTGTGAGTACGTGCCCAAAGTCCCGAGAAGAAAATGGAGGAGAAGGCATTGTGCATGGCCATCCCCCCAGGGGGTGATTTCTCACTTTTCTTCCCCCTGTCTCTCTCTGCCTCTCTGGCAAGCACATGTGCCCTGTGGCAATAATCTAAAAAAAAAAAAAAAAAAAAATTACTTTGATCAACAGTAGAATATAAAAGAAAGAAAAAATCTTGGAATCACATATAATATCCCTTCTGCAAAGAGAGCACTTGTGATTCACTAGAGGACAAATGAAAATGGTCAATAAAGTGAAATTTAGTGTTTTGGGACCAGCAGTTAGCGTAATGGCTATGTCGCTGGACTCCCAGAGAGCACTTATGAGTCACTAGAGAACAAATGAAAACGGTCAATAAAGTGAAATTCAGTTTTCATCCGTCACACTGACAAAACTTTTCAAAGTGAGCTATGCCACTGTAGGTGAGAGTGTGAGGAAGGCGGCTTCCCCACAGACTTTCTGGACTGTGGACCCGCACATCCCCATAATGCAGCAAACGTGTCAGACTCGGTGCGCCCAGCCTTTGGCCAGCCATCCACTTAACGTCACACAGAGGCAATCTCGGCCCAGTCAACAAAAACAAAACAGCATCTAGGCAAAATACTGGAGCAATGTACTCTGTCTTTCTGGCGAGCACACGCGCCCTATAGCAAAAACCTCTCCAAAAAAAAAAAAAGTGAAATTTAGTTTTCATCCATCACACTGACAAAAATTTTCAAAATGAGCCATGCCACTGTAGGTGAGAGTGTGAGGAAGGCGGCTTTCCCACAGACTTTCTGGACTGTGAACCCGCACGTTCCGATTATGCAGCAAACGTGTCAGACTCAGTGCGCCCAGCCTTTGGCCAGCCATCGACTTAACGTCATACAGAGGCAATCTCGGCCCAGTCAACAATAACAAAACAGCATCTAAGTAAAATACTGTAGCAATGTATTCCAAATCAAGAAGCATTCTAAATGTTCATTTTAATTGTAGATTATTCCAAGTACATTCTATAGCCATTTTAAGTAACTACGAAATATATATCGGTTAACATGGAAAAATAGGTTATGGAGTAGTCCCAGTTAAGCCAAAAATTACATAACCCAGGGATATAGGATGTAGGCAAATATGGATGTAACATTGTAAATAAATTTGGATTATTTGTCTTGTCAAAGGATATTTGAAAGACTGTCTGCCAAATAACAGTAATTCTAAAAGCATTCTTTTTTTTTTTTTT